GATAGGAAAAGCTTGGAAATTGCCAGCACTTTTCTTGGTTGGTTTATTGTATCAAGTAGTTTCCAAGTTGATTAGAAGTCTTAAACTGAAGTCAGATTGGGTGTGCAATACTATTGTTACCTCAAATTCATTGGCCCAATCAGACAAAGATTTGATGTATGATGGTTTATCTCTTTATTTCTAGAAAAAAAAAAACTCTTCCTCCAAAATCAATAGTTGGTTGGATTTGTTTGTACTCCACACCACTTATGGCTGTGGCTGTTTTTGAAGTTAATGTGTTTTTATGCTCCAAATGCTCAGTTGGTAAGTGGTCATCAAGAGAGTGCATTACCTACTGAATCCCTGGTTTTCCTCTAATGGCAATGTGAGATGCTAAGGGTACAGAGCTGCTTGGGATGTTTCCTCTAGGTTTTAATGTGTCTTGATAAATTTCTCTCTATATCTTCTAGGTATGGTTGTTACCTTGTTATTCTGCAATGAGTTTTGCATCTTTTTGGGACTGTTGGATTTAACTCTTTCGAGCATTTTTCCTGTGCATCTTATGGTTTAAAACACGTGCTGCCTGAAGAAAAAAATGGCTCATTCTCAAGAATTATCTGACAATGTTATTGTGTATCCCCCGGGCTGTCGGGAGATCAGTGAGGAAATGGGAACAGATGAGCTCATTCGACGCCTGAAAGTAAGTGTTATATAGTGTTTGTATATATTCTCTTTTGTCCTCTCTTGCACACATTGAAGAGGAAGCATTGCTATACTTTTTTCAGTGCTTGTTGCACCAGTATTTACAGCAATAAGCAAATAATTGAAAAAAAAATAGAACATCTTTATGCCTCCTGCAAAAACCTGCAGTCTCATTTCATGAGAAATATGTAGTTTTTCATTTCATGCATGAGTTTTTATTTTAATTGCTGCATTTCAACACACCATGTATTTTGAAATCAATATCTACTGATATATGATTCCATTGATAACTTCAATGCTTGTTCAGGTTTTTATTTATTACTGATGGATTATTATTTACTATTTGAGGCCTTCCTGCATATTTAGTATTGTGTTCCCTTTTATTTAAGGACTATTCTGGCCTTGATAGTTGTGCCTGAAACTCTTGATCGTGTCCTTGTTGTAGACTTTGGCACAGACCTTCCAGTCTATGGGCCAGGATGAAAACGCTCACCAAGAGTACATCCCACTGGCTCTGCATTTTGCTGAAGAGTACTTCCTAACCCATCCCTCAAGGGATGTTCAACTCCTCATAGCTTGTTGCATTGCCGATGTTTTGCGGGTTTTTGCACCAGAAGCTCCCTACAAAGATCAGGAACAGATCAAGGTACCCAATCTTTACAAACAAGAATGAAATCATCTGCAGTGTTCCTCTATCTAGGAATTTCATTTTGCTGTGTGCTTTCTGTCCTTTCCAGTCAATTTTCCTGTTCCTAATCCATCAGTTAGAAGGCCTGAAAGATCCGAAAGACCCAGCATTCAAGAGATATTTTTATCTTCTTGAAAACCTTTCTTATGTCAAGTCATTCAACATGTGTTTTGACTTGGAGGATTGCCAAGAGATATTTTGTGAGCTGTTCAAGAAGATATTCACCATAGTGAAGTGAGTTATTTTCCCTCCACATTCTCATTTCATTCCTAGAGTGACTTCAGATAAATTTTTGAGATTACTTCAGTAGCTTTCAGAATTGCTGTAGGTAACTTTTTACTAATTTTTGGTTTTTAAAGGCTAATTGTTTGTTTCACAGTGAGGACCACTCAAGCAAAGTGAGAGGGTTCATGCTTGATATGATGGTGCCTCTGATAAATGAATCAGACTCGGTGTCTGATAATCTCTTGGATATCATCCTCTCCAACATTGTGGAACCACAGAAATCCAAAGGTGTCTGTTATCAGCTGGCCCAAGAACTAATCATAAAGGCATCAGACATGCTTGAACCATACATTCAAGCTGTGAGTTTTCCTTTTGCTGGATGTCATTTGTTCACAATGATTGGATTTCATCAATTTAATTCTAATGGTTCATTTTGTGTATATATTTTTGCAGTTCTTCAACAGAGTGCTTATATTGGGCAGGGAAGAACGCACCATGCATGTGTCGAAGAGAATCTATGATCTCATCTATGAGCTGAATCGCCTTTGTCCAAGGGTCCTGGCTGGAGTCCTGCCTCAGCTAGAATTCAAGCTTAAGTCAGCTGAGGAAAAGGATCGTATGGGAGCTGTTTCCCTCTTGGCACAGATGTTCTCTGAAAAGAACTCAAATCTTGCTACAGCTCATCCAGCTCTTTGGATTGCTTTCCTGGGAAGGTTGGACCTCATGATTGAAATCTTATCATGGGTAAACTCAGAAATTTCTTCATTGAGCCTAGTCAATGCTTTTTTTCTTATTACTTTCCAGGTTCAATGACATCAGTGTGGCCATTCGTATAAAATGTGTGCAGTACTCCATGCACTTCCTGCTCAATCATCCAGAGCTGCGGAAGGACATTACCGATACCCTGAAGTTGAGGCAGCATGACTCTGATGAAAATGTGAGGTATCAAGTCGTCTTGGCCATAGTGAGCACAGCCAAGAAAGATTTCAGCATTGTGTCTGACTCTGAGGACCTCCTGAATTTCGTGAAGGAACGGACACTGGATAAAAAGGTGACCTTGTTGGCATACCTCCTTGTGGGGCTTGTGTTGCCATTTGCCAATATGGAAACTGCACTCATTTCATATTGGAAATGTTTTTGGCTGACCTATTTGGAGGGCATTCATTATTGAAGCTTTGCCAAAATTGACAGTTTCCAATGCTTACTGTGGAAATTATGAATTTCTTTCAAGCAAGGCACAGCATGCTCAGTAGTGCTCTACTCTCTACATGTATGAATTAAAGAAGCCTAAAGAGAACATCATCGAGTATGTTTTCAGGTTGTCTTTCCACCCTACATGTAAAGTCGGACTTCACACGTGGTGACATTTTTTTGGAAAGACTTCTGAAGTCCAGAAATTTGAAGAAGCAAGTGTGATGAGATTTTGTCATTCCCTAACTTAACATGGATTTTGACTGAATCTCCCAGAAACATACTGCTGTATTTCATGTAGACTCAATCATGACAGCATTCCAAGTTGTGTCAGTTACTTCCCACATGTGCTTCTACTGATTTAGTGTTATTAGATAAGCAGACAACTATAGTCATCATATCCTACAGATGGCTCATGAGGATGATGGTATAGCCTTATTGTCTGCCAACGTGTTAATTAATGCAGGCAGAAGCACATAGTGAACCATAGAAGTGAACCATATCTCAACAAGAAAGAGGATGAAGATACCCCTTACAGCCAAAACAGTACTTGAATGCACTTCTGACTCTTCAGTGTCATTTAGGAGAGATGTGCATGCTAGACATTTGGATGGAACTAAACAAGGTTTGATCATTTGTCAAAGCCTGCATTATAGGCATAACATTGGGATTGCCTAGTTGCATAATATTCAAGCATGAAAGAATAGGAAGATTGGTTTTTGGATTGGTTGGCTATTGGCAATAAAGCTGGCAAAAAAATGCATTTCCAGTACTGCTGGTTATAAGCTTGGGCAGCCTGTGTTAGAGATTCACATTTAACCCTGCAAGGACTTAATAATGATGATATTGGTTAATGCCATTTGCAGTTCAAAATCCGTAAGGAAGCAATGGTGGGGCTAGCCATGATCTACAGGAAGCACCTGAGTGATCCCAATGTTCCTCAAGCAACGAAGAATGCTGTGACATGGATCAAGGACAAGATTCTTCACGGTTACTACATGACTTCGCTTGAAGATCGCACCCTGGTGGAGAGACTCCTCAACACGTGCCTTGTCCCGTACCAGCTGCCTCCTGATGAACGCATGAAGAAACTCTACCACCTCTTTGCCACCATTGATGAAAATGCTACCAAAGCCTTTGTGGAAATACAAAAGAATCAGCTTGTGTAAGGAATATTGTTAGCCTCTGATACAAAATTGTACTTTTGGAGTTATGGAATGGTAACAGTTATAAGGTTTTTTGTAAAAACTTTTCTTCTTTTCCTAGGAATCTTAACTTTCTATGCTTTTAAAGTGTCCCAAAGGTACCTTTAGTAATGTGGGAGCACTCTACTTAATTCATTTTTGTTAATATTGACTTGACCTTCTTGCAGTGTCAGAAAGAGCCTTGGAGAACTAATTGAACTGCTGGCAAAGGGACCTGGAGATGATGGAGACAAGGAACGTGAGAAGCAGATTGTTGCACACGTCAAGCAGCTGGCAAAGTGTCTGCCAGAACCTGTGAAAGCATTGGAATTCCTGAAAAAGTTTGTAGATCATCTCCAGCTGAACAACCGCCTCCTCCAGATAATGCAGACAGCCATTGCGTCCAATGTTCGATGCAAGGACTGTGATGTTGCAGTTGTAAGTCTTTTTGAATCTTTGGAACCAAAGGTAGAGATTTCTGCCTTATGAACCAGAGCTTTTCAATGCAAAATAATTCTTCCTGGACTAGAGCACTCTTTGCATTGCAATTGTGTGGTTTTTATAAGTAAGTTTTAGCAGCCATTAATGTAGCTAACCATGTAAGTTTGCTTTATTGTATTTGCTGTGACCAGGCAGTGTTGTACCAATGACCACTTTTTGCAGATGGAACAATCACTGGGTATGATCTCATGTATTTTTTGCTGGAGCCATTGCCATTTGTGACATGTAGATGTAGAGCAAAGAACCATGGTATGAAATACAGGGTGTCCATAAAGTGACTATGACTTGGGTGACTTTTTTTATTATAGACCCAAAAGTTGCCATTTTTTTAACTTTTGTAGACTGACAACTTGTCAACCTCGGAATAGTGTATAATCTTTTCTCCTTCCACTTTGGCACAGCCTAGAATTAATTTCCCACTTGATGTTTCATTATTCACTTCAGTGGAGAAGAAATTCAGACAACAATTTGAGGAAATTTTTGCTGCTCGACCCTTTTGCAAGAACTTCTTGCAGTTATCACAGTATTGATTGAATAGAGCGTTTTGGGAATTCAAAATCATACAAATTAGGAATTTACTTAACAAAGTGGCTCAATATGTCCACCACCGACTTCCAGATATTTCTGAGCTCTGGCAATTGTGTTGTTCCATGAGAATTCCATCACTTTTCTGGCAACCGGCATTAGAGATAAGACTTATTCTCCTTCAAGCTGTTCAGATCTGTGGGCTTGTCCCTATAAACAATACCTATTTTAAGTAGTCCCAGAGATTTAAAAAATCACAAGGGATCAAAATCGAGAGATCATGGAGGTTGTTTGCCCTGGGTGACAATTCAGAATGCCACATTCCATATGTCTGAACTACTAATTGAAACAAGGGTTTGGTAAATAAGCTTCCAGTGAAAATAGAGTGTAGAAACAAAAAACATGACACCATTCTGAAGTCTAATAATAAACAGCCTACAAAAATTAAAAAGTTGGTTCCGTAGATTCAGTATGAAAAAAGTTGCCCTTAGGTAGTCACTTTATGGACTCCCTGTTATCAAATTTAAAAAGGTCTATTAGGAAGCCAAGTTCTAATTTTTTTCAGGACTATCACAGTGGTGTTATGAAAAATGTTAATCGAGCTGAACCATCAATGGTGCATCAATGCATTGGTGCCTCTATCAATCTTGTGGTTTATAAATCTCTTGATGCATTGTGGCAGCCCTACTTTTTCCTTTTGCTGTTGAGATTAATTTTATGGGCTGCATTTATGTTTATTTGTTTATTTATTCATCTCATTCTAATTTGGGAATCAGGATCAGCAGTTTGCAAACCAGCAGATGGCTGATGATGCCATACTGGTGGTCGATACCAGTGGTTGCAAATGCTTTTGTCCAGCCCTAGTATTCTTGCTTGCCTTGTAGATGTAGCTATGGTGTAATTGCCTTGTTGGTAAGTGGAATATCCATATTCTTAACCTCTCTGCAATGTATCTTTTTTTGACAGAATATGATCCTGAAGGAGACTGGTGTTCCGGTGATGACAAATTTATATAACTCTACTGTGAAGCAGCTTCTTGAGAGGACTTCTTCTGTTATGATCGACAAAGAGGCACTTTTGATGCTGATCACTCTTGTATATAAGTGCATGCGTGACACAGAGACTGCACTTGAAATCAACATTCCTCCTGAGGATGCTGGGATCAAGGGTTTGAAGCTTCTTTATGTGAGCCTGTTTCCTCTCCTTGTTCTGTCAGTGAAATTCATTCACAAGTGAAATTTGCTTTGTTTGTTGCTTGTATGAATTCTCAAACTTCTAAAACTGTTGAAGATATTTGAAATGTAAGTACATTACAGGGTATCCACAAATTATGCTTACAATTTGCGAATCATTACTTTAAAATAATCATAGAAAGGTGAAACAAAAACAAAATTTGCAGAAACAGTTCACATTTTGAGACACATGGATTACAGGTTCACACTCATTCTGCTGGTGGTGCTGAAGCGACATGAACAAAAATGGTAGATTTCATGGGAACTGAGGAAGCACAGTGGATTTTTTGGTTTTAAGAAACATGTTCTCTGCCACAAGTGAACATTAGAAGAAATGCATTCTGTTGCATTTCTGTACAAAATGCAAGATGGGGCTGTCGTAAAGATCAACTATTCATACTTGGGATAAACAGGTAGTTGACACTGGGTGTCTTTGTCACTGTAAAGGTGGTGGAGACAGGGGATTGACAAGAACATTGTTGAGAGGGTACAGCTGCTTTTCAACAGTGTGAAAATCCACCTGTCATACCAACAAAGAACTTCAAATACTTAGCACAGCAATCTGAACAATTCAGCAAAAATTGTTCATGCCGAGACCAAAGAAGTTTCAGTTGCTGCAAGTCATGACAGAATATGAGAAAGTGAAGTGGTTATTTCCCTGCTTGTTGTCCCTGTTTCAACAAACTGTTTAAACCAAGCATAAATGGGTGGGAACTTCTAGCTCATCTCTTCTGCCAAAAATATGCTTTGTTGTCCATTTTCATTGGTTTGATGCAGTTATTCCAGATAATGCAAGTTTTCTATGCCATGAAATGTGGAGGCCCCTTATGATATGTTTGCAAGTCAACAAAGTCGACTGGGGTTGTTGCACCTTAAGCATGTCAGGAAAGGCCACACATTAAGTTTTATTGTACAATCATCAGAAACTGGCTTAATCTAGAGTGCTGCAATTTATGTATGGTAGACCCATTTTTTATGTCATGAAAATTTTTTGGAGATGAATTTTATTGGAGAGATGTTAACCCCTAAGATTCAACTTTTTTCTTGGTATGAATATTTGTTGGCAAAGTGCAAAGCACTGAGGTGTCAGTGTTGAAATGGACCTTTTTTTATGTGTTGCAGGTCCTGTCCTTCGTCTTCCCTGCTCACTTCCAGGATGAAGCCATTCTCACACACCTTATTTCTTTCTTGGAGATTGATGAGGATGAGATTCCTCCTCTAATCCTTTCCATCCTTTCCCATGTTGGGAAATACAAGCCGATTGGTCAGGCTTTTGTCCTTTATTGGAGTCATTTGTTGCCCTGGAAACTAATGATGGCTGATGTGACTTTCTTTCGTTACCTGATGCAGCTGAGAATTTTCCTAATCTGATGGAGGCCTTGATTCCTATCTGCACTCAATATGCAGTCAATGGCTTGCCAAAGCAAGCCAAGCATGCTGTGCGTTGTCTTGGGAGCAACATTCTTCCTGCTCAAGTTGATACTTTTTCTAACATCCTCGAGGTGAGAGCATTACATCCATTCAATTTAACCCTTTCAATGCTGAGTTTTTGTTGCTCTATTAGGTAACCTGACAAGTATACTTGTCTGTAGCATAGAAAGGCTTAAGAATGGTTAAGCCTAAGTGACAGAAGGCTTCAAAAACAAGGAAAAAAAGTGTAGGCCCAAATGCCCAAACCTCATTTAGGCAAGATAAGAAGGCCTCCCTTGCTGAATTATTGGTCTTTATTCCATGTATATGCTCATAGGACTATTTGGAGAAATTGCATGGAATATAAACTGGCTTTTTATTATCCCACTGAAACATGACAACAACTGGTTGTGTAGAGGTACTGATATATGTAGATATATAAAGAGGTTGAGAGATGCTTAACCCTTTGTGAAGTGTGAATGTACCAGTATGTCCATTCTCTTGAAAGGTTCTGGAAAACTCGCTCCTCAAAGGGTTAAGCTCCCATGTGATATAGGTCGTTATGAAAACTGGAAATGAGGCCTATATTGTCTACAGTTATCATTCCCCCTGCTCTTGTTTTTTCTTCTTACATCTGTCTATTGGGGGGGAAAAAGGCTGGGAATGCTGAGTCTGGTAGCTACTTTTAGTAAGGGTGGTACCAGTAAAATAATGTCAGATATTGAATTGTATGGGAGGCAGGAGGAAACCTGAAATGGAGGACTTGGAAACAGTGCCTTTGTCATTTATTACAGTATTGTGTCATCACCTCCATTTTAAACATTACTAATTGACCAGTGGTTGTTTGCATGCTTTAGTTGAATTCTAATACTCTTGGCATTGTTTGTGAACATTTGCTTGATTGCTGAGAGTCAAAGATCGCATGACCTCTTTATTGCAGAAAATCAAGGATAACTTGGATATTGGGAATCCATCCTTGCGCACAGCTTTAGTATCCCTTGGCCATATTGCTCTGCACCTGCCTGATCAGTTTCGGGTCCAGATCAAGAACATTGTTTCACGAAAGGTGATTTTTCTCTGTGTTACCTCTTTCTGATCATGACCCAGACAGAGAAGAAAGTGAAGAAAATGCAGCTGATACTTCATGTCAAGACATGTTTCTCATCACAAAGAATTGTTGCATTCAGAAAATAGCAACTTTTAGCTACTTATGGGGAAAATAATATTTTGATTAAAGTAATTTCTAAGGTTTTTACTTCCTGTCACTGGAAACCTGACATCAGGCTTCATTGGCTGTCATTCATCAGACTTTGACATTCCTATCTCTAAGTCTTATAAGCATTACTTCATCATTTGTGTGTGTATTCAAAAACAATGGTGTCAGTAAGTTCTTTCTCTCAAGTAACTACTACTGTGAGAGCCCTAAGAATAACTTTATTGTGCTGTGTGTAGAATTTGAGTCATGGTAATATGCCTAATACAAAGAGTCAAAAATTAAATATTCTAACCAAATGTTGGATTTGACACTTTCTCAGCATTGTGGGAGTGGTATTTTATACCATGCTGGATCTCCTGTTTAGGTTGTAAGGGATCTGCTAATCCGAGAACAAGATGGGGAATCCCCTCTCAAGGATGTTGGCACTTGGTGTGATGAGGAGGACATTCCAGAGGAGACCAGGTGCAAGGTCAATATCTTCTCACTATTTCACTAGAGATAGCTATGTCATGCTTTTATTTTCACATGTCATAATTATGTCTTTTTTTTTTAGATGGAGGGGATGAAAGTGATGGCCCGGTGGCTTCTCGGCCTAAAGAATGATGTGATTTCTGCCCAAAAAACATTCCGCATGCTGAATGCATTTATCTTGCATCGTGGTGATCTTGCCTCAAAAGGAAAACTGAGGTATCCTCTCTCATATCTAATAATATTACTTAATTCATGTCATGAGTTTGAGTGTAGGAATGAATGATAGAGAATGTGAAACACTGACTCTTATATCTTAGTGAGGCTGAGAAGTCATGGCTACGACTGAATGCAGGCTGTGCTATGCTGAAGATCTGTGAACAGAAGGGTGTTGGGGATCAGTATACTGCGGAACAATTCTATAACCTCTCTCTTTTAATCATGGTTGGTTGTTGTTCTTTTCTTCCTTTCCTGATCTTCCTTTGCCCAGACTAAGTGGTTTATTATTTGTGGTTCTCAAAAAGGATGAGGTTCCTCAAGTGAGGGTTCGTTTCCTTGGGAAGCTACAAAAGGGCTTGGCCCGTGGCATGACAAGAGGGACGATGGGGCGGTGCCTCCCACTTGACTTCATGGGCTACTATGTGCTCCTGGGGAAGGAGCCTGATAAGATGCTCAAGGCCAAGGCTCGCAATTACATGCTGGTCAATGTCACCAAGAGGCGGGAGTATATCAAGGGACTCATGCTTGGAGGAGGTCTTTACCTTTTTTTTTTTTACTTTACTCTTTGGTTGTATCAAGGAATAAGTTGACTCGCTAGGTGTCAGATTTCATGGTGCATAATTTTTTTATTACCAATATTTGATTGGAGTGGAACAGCACAATTGGAGTTGTGGTGAATGCCATGGATGAACTGGCGGGTTGTTTCTTAGATGAGAAAAGCATCGACTAGTATTCTCTGTACATGTGCTAATGCTAATGTGATTCTGGCATGGTATTTTTCAAGGTAATTCATATGTTTTTTTTTCTTGCAGACAAGATTGCTGACCAACTTCCTCACCTCCTGCCAGACTTCATGCTGGTGTTTTCAGTGGCAGTGCTTGCTCATGATCCCGGTTTCACTGATCCTAACGATGTGAATCAGCTCCTCCTGTGCCGTTCTTGCCTCCTTTTCATCATGGAGCCTCTCCTCCACAAGAATGAGAACTTTTGCTTCTCCTGGTATAAGACCATCATTGAGAGGATGAAAAATTGCATTGATGCAGTCAAGCCACAGGATGAAACTGCAAACCTTGTGAGTTAGGTGAAGAGATGATGTTCAGTCATGAATTTGGAGCATTGAAGGATTTTTATTCGTTTGACTTGAGCAGAAGCTTTGGAGTCTATGTGATCTTGCAACGGGGATACTGTTGTCCAAGGCCACCAGCTATGAGATGAAGGACTTCTTTGTGGAACCCAAGATCCCAACCCTATACTTTCGTGCTTCCTCATACCCTGACTTTTCCAACACCAAGATCTACATTCCCAAAGTGAGCCTCTTTCAGAGTACATATTGAAATACAGTTGAGTCTCATAATGAAGTAGATGAGGCTGCTGGAATTATTAGTTATATCAGGTTTTCATTATATCAGTAGAGAGAGAGATGCATATCTCCAATTACAGACATGAATCTGTTATGCCTGTGTATATATGATTATTATTCCATGGGTGAACTTTGGGAGCCCTACAGATTTTAAAGGTTTCATGGAAGATAGTACTTTAACACCTTTGCTGCCAAATATCCACTTGTGGATCATGTGGCATTGTAGGTTATGTGTAGGAAATTATGTTGGCAGCTGGTGTCTTAACCCTTACACTGCGAAAAGTGACCAGTTGCTTCTTGCAACATTGCCATTGCCTGCATGCCAAAATAAATTATACAGTGAAAGGGTTACATGTGTAAGTGCTTCTGCTGTTTAAAGGATATGGACCTCCCAAAGCCTTGTAAAATGAAACTCGCACAGGATCAATGGAGCCCAACAAAAAGCTGCTAAGCACAAGCACTGAAGTGCTTGATTCACTTACACCTTCCATGTTCACATCCCCTGCCACATGCACACATTCTGCATGTACCCAATCCTTGATTCTCATAGACTGTGCAACTGAAGTCTGAGGTGGAGGGCTGAATAGAGAGGACTGACCTTTCTGCATGTCCATCAAGAGGGAGAAAAAGTTCATTTCTGTTTGGATGGGGGAAAATTCTAGAGATACAACGATATTTTATCGATTATCGGTATCGGCCGATATTAGGTGAACCGATATATTGGCCTAAAACGATATATGACCTGCTGATAACCGATATTGAAATTACACCTGAAGTATGCCAAACGCTAAGTATGTAAAGCGAATGATGAATATTCTCACCTTTTTCCCATTAGACAAGGCCTAGATGGATCCCAAAACCTTGGTACAAAAATCACTAGACTATAGTCTGACTTCAACTCTTTCGTGTCCAGAGGTTCCATTTGGAACCACCGATTTTCAAGAATTTTATCATCTTTATATTCATGTTAGGACCATGCTGATGGCCACATTTGACCGGTAGACTGATGGCGCATTTTGAACTCGACCGATTGACCGGTGCCGGAGCCGGAGCTGATAATGATTTATACTCTATAGATTGTGAAAGTAACATGAAATCGCATACGAATAGGCCTATTTGGAAGCCTTATGATACTAATCAGTGAGTTTCCTGAAAACGATAGAGGCCACTTTTTTTTAGACCTTTCCAGCCTGTCTGTCTGCGTCCGTCACGGTTACCTATTGCTGATATGAGGGCTTAACGGCACTACTCGCTAATGCACAGCATAAAAGGAGATGCAATTATTTCACGGTCATTATGGCTATTTTCCTCCGCCAGTTCCTACAATTGGGCTGAAATACAGTAAGTCCTCGATTTACGTCGTGGATGCATTCCCTGAAAACATGACGTAAAACTAAACCTATTTTCCCATGGACTAAATTATATACAGGAAGTCCTCGATTTATGACGTCACATCGGAATGACGCAACATATATGGGGTATATGTTAGCGACGTTATATTGAAAGGAGGTAAATCGAGGACTCCTCGCATAATCTGATCGATACTTTTTTCTGAAAGAGGACGGCAAGGAAGGCTTTCAGCGAAACAGGCGGGCCGGCAACAAACCGCGCTCACACTCGCGTAGTTTTTATTTTTTTTTTGCATTTTGCCCTCTTTCAGGCTTCGGCATCGACAGCTTCCAACCTTACCGTAGCTATGGCGTCAATGGTGCAACACCAGAGGCGAATCTCTGTGGTTGTCAATACGTCAGTGCAGCCCTAATTTATCAAAAATATTAATAATGTAATAATTTATATTTGTATATTTATAATATTATGCATTACATAAATATGTTTGTAGATAAAAACTTCTGTAATATAATAAATATGATTGATTGCCTTAGAAATTTTCCTGAAAAGCAGTTATGTTCGCATTTCATCTTCATGGCAAATTATTGATGTGTTAACAATTTGTCAATCATGTCTGTCTGGGTGCCCATTAGAGGTATGAAGTAGGGAACTTTGACATTCTTGACATTTTCTGAACTGAGTGCTACTTTGAAAGAAAAAAAAAAAGAATTGCGATTCCACCTTATTGCAACTTCTAGGATGGAACATAAGAAATAAAATGCAAATCCAATGTAATAATAAAAAAATCCACATTGAGGAACCTGGCTTCAGCATGAAGAAAACATTTCTTCTCACTATTGGAGAAATGGCAAAAGCATGAGGTGCACCACTCCCACTCCACCACCAGCTTTCCCCACCAGACCTGGTCCCAATTAAAACTTAAAAGTGGAGGGGTTAATGCATGAGGGTGGATTTTTGAACAGAGAACAATCTGATAATGCAGCTTTATTCTGGGGAAAACACATTTCCTGAAAGTAAAGCAGTGTTATCAGATAGTTCACTGTTCAAAATCTACCCTGAATGTGCAAATATAAATGTAGATATCAGTATCGGTTCTTTTCCTATATTGGTATTATCAGTATATAAGATTTAGTCAAAATTCAATATCGTTGCATCTCTAGAAAATTCATTATATCCTGTGTAGTTTCTATCTGAAGGACACAGGAAACTCTTTCGTTATATTGGAAATTTCTTTAAGTCTGATTTCATTATATCTGAATTTTTTAGCATGGATGTCTATGGACATTCGGTCTGGCAACATCAAGGAAATCCTTGACATTGCTGGATCGAATTGGACTGGTATAACCAGTTTTTTGTTGTCAGTGTTCATTATTCTGAGTCAACTGTACGGTGCCAGCAATATGAGATTGGAAAGAATATTTATTTTTACTTTCATTTTTCTTTGCAGGAGCTACAGCAGTTGGCTAACAAGCCTCCAACTGTGATCAGCCTAGGGAGTCTGGCCAATCGAAGAGTTCGGGCACGAAAGGATGATGTGAGGCTTGATTTCAATTGTTCAATATATCTTTAATAAAATTAACTTCCCTAACTCTTTTATGCTATCTTTAGGGAAATGAACAGGGGCGACAGACTCAGGCTCGTATAGGGCAAGGAGAAGCAGGCACTGCTGAACCCAGTGTCAACCACTTCTGTGAGTTTATCCCTTGACATTTGCCATCTTTTAGCTACTGTAACTTCTGTTATGGAGGCATGTAATACTATTTCCACTTGCAGCTACATCTCCTCCCAAGACATACTCCCGATCAAGTTTGCCTGCTGACATGGATGAGGAAGATGAGGAAGAGGAAGAAAGAATCACTGAAGAAGAGGAAGAAGAAGAATCAGAAGAAGAGTACCTTAGTAAGAGCCGAAAAGCAAAGAAGCCTACAAGTAGGGGTCGTCCACTGAGAAACACAGTTGAGGAAGAGGAAGAAGACAAAGAAGAATCAACGCGATCAAGGCTACAGAGGAAACGGGGGCGGAATCAAGATGAGGAGGAGGAAGAGGAAGAGGAGGTGGAGGATGATGATGATGAAGATGAAGATGAAGATCAGGAAGAGAAAGAGGAGGATGAGGATGATGAACTTGAAGAGGAGTCAACTCCTCAACCCACTAGGTAAGTATACCTCAATATAGGTTTAGTATCTGCACCAAGTATGGTGTCCTGAGGTTGGTGGAACTAAAAACGTAAATAAAAAAAATTTCTGTTGGCACTTTTTTTAAATCAATAGTCTTGGATGCCGCCAAGACATCCATATTTATAAATGAAGTGACTAAAAGGAGGTAGGATTGTTAGTTGGTGAAAAAGGATGCAGGGATGAAAGAAAAGGTGGATGGGTGAAGCAAAGCTCTAGTCATGGTTTGGGATACTAAAGTAGGAAGCATCAGCCAATGCTTGATGAAATGCTTCCCATGTATTTAAGACACTAATAATCCCAGTAGCCCTATTGGTTTCCCCTGTGGAAGTCCTATTTAACCATTCCATATAGTCTCCAGTGTATCAATTTTTTAAGCACCTAAAAAGTTCTGGATGTCAAGTAGTCATTATGGTGATAGTTATTGCTTTAAGAACTTCTCTGTAGATAGCAGTGTCTTAGAGAGTTTTTCATGGGAAAGATAAGCCATTGTCACAGATTGATTAACAGGAAAAAATGCTCAGAGTGCCTATGCTAAAATTACTATCCCTTGATTTTCTCAAAAAATAGGGCAAGACGTACTCGAGGGAGAGGAGGAGGACCTCGAGGAAGGGGAGGGAAGAGAGGAGGAGGTGGTGGGGGGAGGAGGAGATCTAAATCACCTTCCCCATCCTCTTCTGCATCATCCCCTCCCCCACCCCCTGCTGTGCAGGGAAAACGAAAAGACAAGCCTGGCCCTCCACCCAAGAAAAAGAAGGCCCTTGCTGACCCCTCTCAAACCAAAATCTCCAAGTATGTACTGGTCACAATTTTGATTTTATTTCTCCATGAAAGTATTCCACTTTCCTACCCTACCTTTAATGTCTTTTGCCTAGTTATGTGGTTAAGAAGGGGAAGCAGAAAGAACCAGAAACATCTACTGTTTCTGAACCTCAAGCTGCCAGCACCAGGTTGAGTGGATGTTCACTTTGCATTCTCCCCATATGATAAAAAAAAAGGTTCTGACTTGTGGTGGATGTACTCTTCATGCACAGGAAAGGAAAGAAAGCAGAACAAAGGCAGACCAATAGTACAACTGTGAAGAAAGTTCCCCCAGTACAAGCATCATCACCTTTGTGAGTCTGGTGAACTATTTGGAATGAGAGGCTGATGTAGTTTTTTTGGGTATTTTTGTATTATTGAATTTTGATATATTGTTTTTACAGGAAAGGAGGAGGAAATAGAGAAAGCTCCACTCCAGGTGGCAGGAAAAATTCCAATTCCTCCAAGCCTTCATCATCATCTCAAGCTTCTACCCCATCTTCATCACTCTCTTCCTCATCTCGCAAGTCTACTAGAAGTTCACAGCCCATATCATCATCTGCTGACTTCGAACCCCCTGAGAAGGTATGAATGGCATGCCGATTTTAGCCTGTGTGTAGTTCTTGTTTTAATAGACTGTGTGGGGTAATTTTGGAATTCACTGCATCCTTTTCAGGTGAAAGCAAGAGCCTTGAGAACCAGATCCAAAAAGTGATTTGCTTCTGGGTGCACCTGAGAAGTGTGTTGGTACCTGACTGTGTGGCTGGTAGACTCCCCATGCTCTTACTACCCCATCTACTACAGAAGAGCTGATTTTTTTTTCTATCCTGTTTTTCTTGTTTCTGTATCATTACTCCAGGTGATGATTTTTTTTTCCAGAAAAAATTTCGCGGTTAATATGACTCTGTGACATGTTGAGTGATCCCGTGCATGCCTTCATAAAATGAACGAACTCTGTTTGCTCCTTCAAATTCCATTTGTTCCATCATTTTTCCCTAAGTGGTAAAAGTTTCCACCAGATAACAATGGAGAATTTCAAAGAATCATGAGAATCTGGGAACATGCATGCAATCACTGAGGCACTGGGTAGCACTCTTCATGCTGGTGCCAACCACTGGCTCTGACCAACCACTGACACTAAAAGACATCCATCAGACAAAAAATGTAAGAATTTGCAGTATAATATCCCTGATGAATGGATCACTAGCTGAACAGCTCCTCAGTGGCTTTCTCAATGTTCCAAGAAGACGAAGAGAGTGTGCGTATGGCCACCTGTTCATTGGCGCCCATGTCAGTTAACCACTTTATCTTCTCTTCAAATCCATTTGAAGCCTGTTTCGGTGCTATGGAAAGAAAGCAGAGTCCCAAAGTTCAGTACACTCATTCAGAATATACTAATTCATGAAATTTAGTTCATGTATGGCACAAAAATGACATGCAAGGCTTTCCAATTATGTCTTACAAACTATTTTGAACTGGATAATTTCCTGGTTTTTTATGGATCCAAATGCTCATTGCAGATGTTTAATTTGGTGTGCTTGGATAAATATTGGTGTTTTTCTAAAGATTTCCATCAGAAAATGACCAGTATCTTGTGATGCATTAATAGATATATCTAATAATTCAAAAGACAGGTAGTAAGAAATTTTAGTCAATGGGATCTAATTTAATTTGAGATTTCAATATTGAATTTGGGTGGGATTCCTGCATGGAAATGTTAAATGATTCTCAAGGCTTGAACAGCTTTTTTCCTCAACCAATTTATGTAGCACTTGCCATATGTATGATGTCTCCTTAGGACTAGGTAAAAGTATGACAATGCCACTGTACCTCTTAAGGTAGGCTTAGAACCCATTCCAATATACAGGATGTCCTGAAAAGACCTTTACCATTTGAAAGGAACATTGTTTCTTCAATTTTACTAATGGACACATAAAAGGCATTGCATATTGATTGAAATGAGCCAAATTTTTATTCCATGTACAAGTTATTGATTACATTAATGAAACATACTCAGAAAGACCCCTGTTACAGAGAATGCATTCTTGAATGCACCTTGCACATTTCAAGTTTACTCCCTGCATTTTTTGACTGTCTATGCCTTGAATTTTCTCCATAATGGCATCCCCTTCACCTCCTCCATGGTCCTTGGGTTCATCATAAACACTCCATCCTTCTGGTAACCCCACATGTAAAAATACAGGGGTGAGAGGTTGGAGATTCTTGTGGATCTTGTGACAAGTGGAAGACTACTGTGTCACACATGCTCCAATGTTTTAATTTTGGCCAGAGAAACATTTGTGAAGGATGCCATTATGGAGAAAACTCAAGGCATAGACAGTCAAAAAATGCAGGGAGTAATCTTAAATTGTGCTAGGTGCATTTGAGAATGCATTCTCTGTAATGGAAGTCTTTGTGAGCATGTTTCATTAACGTAATCAACAACTTGTACATGGAATAAAAATTTGATTCCTTTCCATCAATATGCCATACTTTTTATGTCTATCAGTAGAATTGAAGAAATAGAGTATCTTTCAGATGGTAAAGGTTTCTTCAAGACACCCTGTATTATGTAGCTGATGTTCTCTAACAAGTTGAGAATGGCATCATTAATGTGCAAGTGTGGTGGCCAACCAGGAGAATCATAGTAGCCTCTCCTGAAATGAGTCCATTTTTCCTCCCTTTTAGGGATGTTTTCCTGAACAGGATCCAAAACCTCAGTGGTATGAACAGTGAGGTGTTGCCATTTCCCTGTTGCTGACTTGTTTTAAAAGCAACACAGCAATTCCAGAGGATTTATGATTATTACCTAAACAGAATCATAATGAGAGCTAACAGCTCCCAATTTCATGCATTATGAGGTCAACTTTCACTTTGCTTTATATGGGAAGTGACACAAGTCAGAACTTGAGCAAAGGATTTGCTGCATGCAAAATGCAGACAGCTCTGACCATAAGCAAACTTTCTTGAGATCAAGCCTAGAATCTTCATTTTTGAAGAGCACTTTACCCTTTCATGGGCAATTTTCATCTGACCAAATTGAAACATGTTCCTGGCTTTTTTTTTCTTCAAATAAATTACATAGAAACACAAACAGGTTCCAGATTTATATTGGTCATACATCATATGCAAAATAGGTGGATATGGCAGTAACAATCAGTATTGGGGGGGGTGGGAAGTGGGCTTCCCAACTCACTTATAAGAATTCATGTGGTGGGAAGAATACTTCCCATGGCCTATGAAAGGGTTAAGCAAAATAAAAAATCTGAGGGAGAGAGACTAAGGTAGGTAAGGGAGCTTGGGAAGCATTTTGCAGCCTCAGGAAAGGAACACATGGCTTTTGCAGAGATGTATCATCAATTCAGTGGACATGATCCCTTCCCACCATCTTGATCTCTCTCCCTGTGAAAAAACCTTTGAGGATGAAACTTCCTGTCAGTAGAAAACTGTGACAGATATGAATGGTACATATGGGAAATGGTATGTTCCAATCATCATTACATTCACTGTGAGACCAAAATGCCTTTAGGTATACACCATGCAATGTGAGTCACTGGTGACTCATGCTACAATGAAGCATGAAATTATTTTATTGCATTTTTTATCTACTCTCTACTCCATGATACTATTGTTGGCACTGTTCAAGTTCGTCTGACATCTTGACTGGTGTTTGCTAATATTTATTGAGTCTTAGTTCCAATGATGGGCAGGATGGGGTCAGAGTTAAAAAAAAGTCAAATAATCAGTAGATAGAGTTGGCAATGCCATGTCAGACTAGGGATTGACGTGTTTACAGTTTCTTCGGTATTCAAGGTTCAACGATTTTCCATGGACTGCTCCTTGAAAAATAATTTATAGAAATTGAGCAAGTGCAGTAGTGGAGACACATTTTGGAGAAACAAAACCATTAAACATTCTTACATGCTGCCAATAGGTCATAGTCCCAGCATCAGTTCAACAAAGGCCAGGCACAGATGCAGGAAGGCTACAGGGGCTACAACCCAACCTACATTTTTTTTTTAACATATGCTTTTCACAGGGCAGATGGAGGGTGACTCCAGAATTAAGAGTGAGTTTACCCAACTGGTACAGCAGATGACCATTTCATGTGAAATTGGTGGGAGAGGGGTTGGGTCGAGTGAGCCCCTTCATTTAAAATTTTTTGGGAGTATGTTCCAAGCTATATCAAGGTAGGGCAGTACAGCCAGACCTACAAATTCATTTATGTCTTGTCCTTGGTACAAGCAATTTTTCCCTGTTTGCCTTCAAAAGCCAGAGGAATTTTGACCCTAATCAATCTTCATCAAAATATGACACTAAAATGGTTCAGCTAAATGACATTGAGAGCTACCCATTCAATTCCTCTGTAGAATATTTTCCAAAGCAATGAGGTACAAAAAAAAAAAAACTTATTTTGGTTTCCAATTTAAACTTCCTTAGAAGTGCTCCATAGGTATGAAGCTACAGGGGATGAAAGAGGCAAGTTGGCATATTGCATGAAAATGTTACAACACACACCTCCCTCTAACTGGTTTGCCACACAGTTAGCTGCAATAAAGACCTTGTGTGGTCCCAATAGTTACAAGGCTCTGCAACAAGATGAGATATTCAAAAGTCATGCATTGCTTATAAGTGTATATGTGCATAGTGTCCAGAAGGACTTTTCCAAAGAGGAATAACTGAATGAATCATACTCCTTGATGACCTAGATCTTCCCTCCTTGCAGGTTTTAAGCTCAAATCAGAAAGTAGACAGACTTACCACCAGCATAGCATGAACACCAAAATCGTGCAGTCTTGAGAAAGACATCATAATTCTCCTTATATTGCCTGGCAACGACAGCATCTTGGGGATCGTCAGGCTCGGCAGAAGAAAGCAGGGCTTGGATCGAAAGTAGCACTGTCCTCAATGTCATTGCAGCTGCCCTAAAAGACAGAACACACAAATGTATTTTGGATATCTGAAGAGGAACCCATTCCAAAGGATAAATACACTCACCACTGATCTTTCAGGATATCAAGGCAGATTGCACCCGTCACAGAGGATATGTTGGGATGCCATATCTTTGTGATGAATCGGACCTGTGAAAGCAACGGTTGAGCATCCCGGCATCTCTCACGTGGCACAAAGAGACCGTGGAGGGCAGAGGAGAAAACTGACTGACCTTGGGTGGGTTGAAAGGATAAGTTTCTGGGACCTTGATCTCAAGGTGGTACTTCCCTCCTTCATAAGGCGTGTCTGGTGGACCCGCGATCTCGCCGCGCAGTTCTGTGAACGAATCGTTGACCAGCTCCACACGGATCTCACATTTTGCTCCCTGATTGAAAAAAGAATATTCTGGCTTAACTAATGCTAGAATCATATGTCACACTTGTAAAATGAACAAATATTTTAGTCATCTGACCTCTTCACTCTTCGCAACCTCCTTGAACTCTCTTTTGATCCGTTGCACAGCTATATTAGACATGTTGGATTTATACAATTTTCAGTAAGTAATAATTTGCACATTTGTCATCCACAACTGAGGGAAGAGAGAAATGAAGTTTTAGACATACTTAAAGAGCTGATAGGCCTACACATAATTCGTGACAAATTATAGACCTTATAAGGATATATAACACGGATAACAAGGATATAGAACATCTTTCCTAAAGTTTAGGATGGAGTCTTTCCTTTTGGAGCATTCCTGGATTTTCCCCATGAGCACATAAAATTGCATTTTATCCAACCAGAAGCTTCAATCTTTCTTAATGATATTCACTATACATAATTCCCTCTTTCAATTTAGGCAGCTTAGGACCTTTCCTTTTTCAGGGCAGATTTACTTTCAACATTTGGCATTGGGCCTCTTATACTTAATGCCACAATTCATTACATTTAACTCTTGTCTGCAATTGCTCTCGAAATATACCAATTGATACCAGTATGCTTCTAATGTAAGACTTGCACTCTTATAATTAAAATTAAAATTTCACTGCTATATCCAAGCTTCCCTTGTTCCTGTTCCATCCTATTATTCTCTTCGCGTTGCTACTGCCTGCCACTCCTTTGAGAATGAGCACTGGCAGCCAAATGACCTAGGACTCTAGGGTCAATACTGAAGATGCAGCTACAAGCTCTGCTTGCATCCTCGATTTTTATCATGTTTCTGTTGAATGTTGAATGAGAAGGGCCTCAAAACAGCAAGGCACTTATTATTTCATACTCTTAAGGGAATGGTCTCACGACAGCTAACAGGACAAAATGAAATAACAGGCATGACAACCACCCCCCTTACGCATGACCTCTACAACAGCCAAGGTGAAACCGAGGTCCGAGCCTTAAACTGAGGCTTGGCTGCCACGTTTACAGCGATTCATGAAAAAAATGGATATTTCTTCGACAAGCCCTTCTCGACACAATCGTCGTCACGAGGTCAGAAAAATTCATTCGGGTGTCAGGCCTACAAAAGGAAACGCGTTATACTCGACCAGACACGAAGCGTGCAAGATTAGTTGAACTGCAGGCACTGTTGAACCTTGGCTGCATGCGGGACGCCATGTTGTCACACCCTCAACGGAGCAGCTGCGCCGCGCTCGTCCTTCGCCCGGGAGGCGACGTTCAGTCCCGTTTAGTTCCTGTGCTTGTTTTTTTTTTTTTTTTTTTTTCGGCTCTGTTTATGCTTCTAGCGACCAAGGGCCTCACGTTCTTGATGGGCTGTCGAGCGCGATCGAAGTTCGATGTCCGTTACGTGTCCGAGAGTGACGTCATTTCGTGACGTGGTCATCCCGATCTTGAGTCATTTGGCCTCTTGCGATTGCGAAGCGTGCGGAGTCGCCAAGTCTCGTGGGATTCCCGCTTTCGCACCCGAGCATATTCGAAATTCCCGGCCGGAGATGCCGCTGCTGCCACGCGTTGTGCTCATCGATGAGGCGATGTAAGAGGGTGTCCCACTCGAAAGGAGCACGGCAAGTCGTTCCGTCTTGTAGGCTCGTGTTGCGATGGTTCGTAGTGGTACTTCCGGAAATTCTCAACGACTCGTGCGGAATGAGGGAGCCTCGACAGTGATTTTACAGACGGTCGTAAGAATTCCTTGGCATGTCGTCATATTTTAAAATCTCGAAGCTTCCCTCATCCTCCGATTCCTCATAAGGAATGAGGAAGTTGTTGTTGCTCTTCGGCAGCACTTGCGAAGCCGCGAGTGTTCCCTTCTCGCCTGTCGTCGAAGACAGACAGGGCCAGTCGTTTTTCCCTTCCTGCTGTGGGCGAGGTGTGCGCACTGAAGTGCTCCGAGTGGAAATAAGAAAAGTTTGCCACCCGGGATTCGACCAAGGGTCACAAGAATGGTAAGCTTGCATGATGCCACAACACGCGCGGCGCCACCCGTTACTTAGGCCTTTTTCTTCCAAATTTTAAGCTTCCCTCATCCTTCGATTCCTTAAGAGAAATCAGGGAAATTTGTAACAATTTTAAAGCATCTCTCTTCGGCAGCAGTTGCGAATCAGGGCGAGGTCTGCGCACTGAAGTGCGTCACAGTCTGGTTTTCGAGAATCGATTTAAACGCGCGACTTGGCTGACTCGGACGAAAATGTGTACCGGGAGTCGTCGTGCGTTCGTGAAAATGATTCGGGGGGAGTTTAATGCTCGCATCCGAACATTGAAGTTTCTTGCTTTAAGCTCAGGATTTAACTGCCCGTTCCTTAATCAAGTGTTCCACGATTGATGGGTCTCCGGATTGAAGACAGATCGGGAAAATTCTCTTGTGACGGATGCCGAAACTCGGGTCATCTTGGTGCTTTTGCTGAGTTCGCTAGATGCTCCAAGTCTTAGAGGTTAATCAGATATGGCTGGTATCATAATCTGCTGTGCTGTGTGGGATGACACCGTGAGAGCTCGTGAAAGGAACATTTCACCGGCAGGAATGGTTTCATCGCTCATTCAAATTTCTCTGGAAGGATCGTCGTTCTCCATATCGGGGCCCATAGGGGAATATTTCCGAAAAATCGTGTGTTTGGAGAAAAGGGGGGGGTCATAACGGGGCTCTATCTCTGTATATGTTTCAACGCCGTTTCATCAGTTGAGCTGGCAAGTTTGCCATGGAAAGATCCGTCCAAAGTCAAGAGTCCAGAAAATGTCCATGAAAATATAAAGTTAATGCAATGTATCGGATGCCGCAGAATGGAGCATTGGGCCATCTTGGTGTTTTTGCTTAGTTCGCTAGATTCTCCAAGTCTTAGAGGTCAATCAGATACAGCTGGTATCATGATCTCCTTCCTTTGGGGAGTGACACCATGAGAGCTCGTGAAATGAACTATTCACCGGCAGGAATGGTTTCATGGCTCATTCATATTTCTCTGGAAGGATTGTTGCTCTAGGGCAATATTTCGGAAAAATTGTGTATTCATGACTAATAGTGAGGGGCTGTCGTGAAGTGATGGTTATAGTGAAAGAGTTAAGGGATGGGTTACCATTATCACGTGAAAGCAAAGTGTAAGAGAGAAGAAAACGCGCTCTAAGTCTGGAGGGGGAGGGGCGGGTCATTACGAAGTTGAAGTCCCTCATCTTTTGCCTTGGCATTGCTGAAAAAAAAACTTAAAAATCAAAGAAAAACTCTTCCCCATCCAAAATTACGACTCAACGGGTCCAAATACGAAGGAGACTTTCGTCACGGTACGAGTGAATCGTAGCATGGCCTCGCAGGGACAGTGGAACAAAGGAAGACGATGCGCCGCCCGGGAATCGAACCCGGGTCGCAAGAATGGGAATCTTGCATGATACCACTACACCAGCGGCGCCACGTTGTATATTGCTTTCTTTCTTCCTATTTTAAGCCTCTCTCATAATTTGATTCCCCAAGAGGAAGCAGGAAAGCTTCCTAGGTCTCGTCGGTTTGTGTTAGTGAATCTCTCGGCGTCGTCGGCTGAAAACCTGAAGGGCCTCAAGGACAACCAATCAATGAAGATTGTGAGATCAATTATGCAAATGCGAGAACTTCATTTGCTCGGTTCCACGGGGACCGGGAAGGATCCCCAAAGGATTCCATCCACGACGTCGCTTCAGCCACGGCACGGCCTCGACTCTTCAATGGGAAGAGGCGGGGCGGCCCACTCTCCATTCGTTGTACCATGAAACGTTTTGACGCGAAAATCATCAGGGATCATCAGGGATCATCAAAATCTTCTTGCATCATTGTTGCGACAGCAGTTTTACATTTTCGGACGGGTCTTTCCCCTTTGTGTCTTCTCCAATCTTCTTTTCATGTCGGGCCTCCTGTAACGGAAATTCCCTCAATTGCATTTCAGATTTTTTTCTGTCTTGCAGAGAAGACAGAGCGAGAGAGGGGGAGAGAGAAGCGACGGTACTTCTGCCGTACACTTATCACTTTCTCTTTCATGGAGTGACTTCAACTCGGTGGGGGGATCCGACAGTCTTTTCCGGATTGGCGGTACGGAGATCAGCAATTCGCTCTGGTTCATTAGCGTATTTGGACGTCCACACGTTTCGTGCAAGTGTTTTACTTAGTGATTCTAGGCGGAACCGGCCCAGATGCGGATACATCGGGTTAACTTACCCCGAGTGGCAGCATGCTTAATTCTATTAAAACATATGCCCTCTTATACCGATTACAGCAGAATTCTCTTCAAGAAGGCAGCGGCAAATTTTAACTTTAATTATACCGATGGGATGAAAATTGGCTCATTGTCTCGCAGTCTCTAGAAACGCAAGGAAAAGGAGATATAGGGCACAACTTTAACACCTTGCAGGGCCATGCAGGGACGGAGTGGAAAAAAAGGATGCTGCGCCGCCCGGGAATCGAACCCGGGTCACAAGAATGGGAATCTTGCATGATACCACTACACCAGCGGCGCTGTGATGAAGTTGAAGTGATCTCCATCCTAGTTCATTACTTCTTCGGGAGGAATTTTAGAAAGATTGTGAGGACCAACAGTACCTTGAGATGGTCCTGGAGGTCCGCTTCATGTTTCCGAAGGATGGCGCCGGAAATGGTGGGTGGAACTTCGTAACAAATTTCGAAGGAAGATATGTAGACCTCGATTTTTTGTGCACGTGGAACACTCAATTGTTGGAATAATCGGCTGCGGGGCAGCCAATAGATGATGATGAGATCAATTATGCAAATATGGGAACTCCATTTGCACGGTTCCGCGCTTTGCGATGTCTCGTGGAGTCATTCCAGGATGCAAGATAGGAAAGAAGGCAAGGAAAGGAGGATCCACCCACAGGGTTCCATTCACGCGCTGCAGCCACAGCACGGCATCGACTCTGCAATGGATGTTATAGAGGTACGAGGGCCACTCAATAAGTTATCCACCTGAATATGAAAGGGATGAGCAACAGTCCTTTGCCTGCTGTGACATGTCTCGACAGGTCTCGTGAGTGCCCCACCACTACACCAGCTCAGTGGCTCAAGTCCGTTCAAAGTGGTAGCGCATTAGATTTCTTTTCCTGAGTCTGTGTCATGGATTTGACGAAAGTCGAACATCGTTCAGTGATCAAATTCCTCACCAAAGAAGGGAAAGCACCTAAGGAGATTCATGAACGTATGT